GAACAATAGCCTACAGAATGGGATTTTTTTTTACCAATTTCACATCTGATTGAGGGCCAATACCCAAAATATATGAAGATCTCAAGAAAGTACACATCTATAAACCAATATTCCAATTAAAAATGGATACAGTCCTAAACAGAGAATTATTCTTAGAGGAATCTGAAATGGCTGAGAAACACTTAAAGAAATGTTCACCATCCTTAGCCATCATGGAAATCCAAATCAAAACTAATTTGAGATTCCATCTTACCTGTCAGAATGGCTAAGATCTAAACCACAAATGGCAGCTCATGCTGTTGAGGATGTGGCACAAGGGGACACATGTCAATTGTTGGTGGGAGTGCAAATTTGTAAACTCACTATGGAAATCAATATGGTGGTTACTTGCATAATTGGGAATCAATCTACTGAAGATCCAGCTATATCATTCTTGGGCATATACCCAAGAGATGCCCCACCCTACCATAAGGACATTTGCTCAGCTATGTTCATAGCAGCTTCATTTTTGATAGCCAGAAAATGTAAGCAATCTTTATTTCCTTCAACTGTAGAACAAATAAAGAAAATGTGATATGTTTGCACAATGTGGAGTGATTCACCTGTTAGAATAAAATAACATCATGAAATTTGCATCAAATGGATAGAACTAGAAAGAAAGCACTCAGAGAGAGATAGCCCAGACCCAGAAAGATAAACAGGGAATGTACTCACTCATAAGTGAATATTGACTGTTAAGTAAATAAAGGATAATCACCCTACAATCCACAGACACAGAGAGGCTAAGTAACAAGGGAGACTCAAGGGAAGGGTTTGCAAGGATTGCAAGGATTTCCCTGGAAAGGGGAAATTGAATAGATTTTGCGGATTGACAAGAGCACATGGGGGTGGGAGCAAAAATGATTGGGTGGGAGCGGGAAGGACTGAGGGAGAGAGTGCTGAGAGAGACAACTAGAGTAGGTGGACATTTAGATAGCAAAATGAAAATCTAGTGCCATAGAAACTTCCTGGAACCCACAAAGGTGGCTCTAGTGAGGACTATCCTAATACTGAGGGATATGATGCCTGAACTGGCCTCTTATGTAACCACACTCGGAGTTCACTGGTGGGAATTGGACACCAACCAGACAAAACCTTCCACCCACAATTGGTCCAACCTGCAAGATTCTTTAGAGCATTATTGGTTCAGAGCTTGTGGGAGTGGCCAACCAGTGATTGGTCTAACTTGAGGCCCACACCATCCACGAGAGGGAAACCATAACCATCACAGTCTAGATGGCCAGGGTCCAGAAGCTCTATGGCTCAGTGACCTAGGGTAGAATCAAACAGGGCTGACTAAAAATAAAGTCAACTAAATGATTTCTAAATATTCTGCTATACTCATAGGATCAGTGCATTGCCCAAGCACCATCAGAGTGGTTTCCTCCAGAACCTAATGGGAACAAATACAGAGATCCACAAACATTAAGTGGAGAGCTCAAGAAACCGTGCAGTGGAGGAAGGATTGTTGGAATGTGAGTTGTTGAGGACACCAATAGAACACAACCTACAGAATCAACTATGCAAAGTTCATAGGGAGTCACAGAGACTGAAGTGGCAACCACATAGCCTACATGGATCTGTACTAGGTCTTTTGTATATATGGTGTGGTTGTTTAGCTTGACGTTTTTGTTGGAGTCCTTACAATGAGACTGGGGGTGTCTCTGATTATATACCTACTAACGGGACCCCTATTCTTTCTACTGGCTTACCTAATTTAGTCTTGATGCGAGGGTTTATACCTTGTTTTATTGTATCTTATTGTGCCATGTTCAATTGATAATAACTGGGAGACCTGTTGTCTCCGAAGGGAACCTGAAAAACATTAGATCGGAGAGGGAGGGGAAGTTGCAGTATCTGCAAAGTGGGAAGTGAGGGAAGGTCGTGATCAACAAGTCCTGTGGGAGAGAACTCATTTAATAAAATTGATGATGTGCTTATACATTCTATGTGACATACCCTCAGCAGATACATGGTTTGCAAACATTTCCCTCAACTTTGGGATTGTCTTTTCACTTTATCAGTGATGTACTTTAAAGCAAAAACATTTTAGTGCTAGGACTATAGCTCAGTAGCGTACTTGCCTAGCATTCGGGGTGCCTGAGTTTAATTTCTAGTGCTGAAAAAAGTTTTAAAAATAATTGTTTTTCACTACAATGGGGACCAACTATTTTATCTTCATTTTGTATTTTCTCTTTTTTGTTTCTTAACACTTTGTTATCATAACCCAGAAATATTTGTTCAACTCATGCCATTACAATTTATCTCTATGCTTAAACATGTTTTACTTGTCCTGGGGAGATGCCTCAGTGGTTCAGAACACTTGATTTTTTTTTTTTTTGCAGAGAACCAAAGTTTGGTTCCCAGCAGTGAGCTGCCTGCAACATCAGCTCAAGGGTATTTGATGTCCTCTTCTGTCCTCTGCAGACATCTGCACTTACACATTCACACACACACACACACACACACACACACACACACACACACACACACCACCACCACCACCACCACCACCACCACCATCTCCACTACCACCACTATCACCATCCAAATAGAATATATTTTTGAAAAAGGCTTCATGCTTCATAACTGGTTGTTACATTTTGAGTCTGGGATCTCTTTGGTCTCTTGTAATACACTATAAAAAGGAGTACCTTCTCCCATTAAAAGGTAAATATTCATCCATTTCTCCCTAATTTTCTTCAAGGACTACGAATCTCTCTTTGGAATAACTGTCTATACCACTCTATCTAATTTCTAGACTATATTATATCACAAGTTCACCAGAGTCCAAATTTCTTTCTCTTCTTTCTCCGACTTTCCCAATGCTTAATTCAGTTTTCTACATTTGACCTGTTAACAGAATTGAGAGCACTTGTCTCTTCATCTTAATTCATTTTCCCTGGGACCAAAGCACCCAAGATCCAGTATCTTTTTCATTTATGCATATGCATGAGGCTTTGGGGGTCAATCTCCATTACCTCAATAATAATGGTAATAAACCCTGTGGTGGTTTGTTTGAAACTGGTACCTATAGGTTCATATGTTTGAATACTTGGTTCCCAGATGGTAAAACTAGAAAGACTTAGGAAGTACAGTCTTGATTTGAGGTTCCAAAGGACTGAAACCATTCCGAATGTCATTTCCTGTGCCTTGTGGTTCTGTCTCAAGATGTGTTCTCTCAGCAACTGCACCAGTACTGTGCCCCTGCCATATCCCCACCATTGTGTTCATAGATTCTTACCCCTCTGAAACTGTAAGATCCAAATAAACTCTTTCTTCTGTAAGTTACCTGGGCCATTGTACCTCTTCACAAAAATATAAACTAACTAAGAAAACCCCATAAAAGTCACATTACTAGAGAAATACAAAAATTGAAAGTATTGAATACCTATGGAAATTAAAGCAATCAACCCTCCTTGTCATGTGATTGGCCTATGTGCACCCAGTCGATAAAGCATTTCATGTGCCATCAAATCCATTGTTGTTTTGATTCTATACCTTCCACAGATTTTTTTCTCAACTGTGCTTTTTCTATATTTTTACCTGTCAAAATAATTTGAATACCCAATATAGTCCCAAAATGTTATAGCCACACAGGGCCATATTCTCCCATAAAGTCACAGTCACACAGGACCATATCCTCCCAGGGTGAGTATTTTTCTGAAGAGACTAATGATTGGGCTAAATCTCACCGTCTGTGAACAAGTACAAATGACGTGTCTATGGATTAGCGGTACACTCTTAACAATGGAGCCAGTGTCCAATCCCCACAGATTTTGAAGTGTGTATTCATTAAGGAATGACTGTGATTGATAAATGCTGTAAGACTACCATAGGATCTGAGTTTAGTTCCCAACACCTATGCAGAGTGGTTCACAGCCCACTTTAATGCTAAAGACAGGAAAATCCAATGTCTCTAGCTCCTGATTGTACCTGCAGTTATTAAACCTCTCTCTCTCTCTCTCTCTCTCTCTCTCTCTCTCTCTCTCTCTCTCTCTCTCACACACACACACACACACACACACACACACACACTACCACACACACACCGTTAAATATAAAATATAGTAGTATTTTTAAAGTTGTGAATTCCATCATAAACTTGTGGTTCCATTCATTATATCTGTCACGAAAAATCTCCTTTGTCTCATAACAGCAGCCCTCTACTGTTTGAATCAAGATTTACAATCTCTCCATGTTCTGACATAGTCAGAATCCTTCTTCACTGAACATCACTGAATGAAGTAGGTAAATACAGACTCTGCATATGTCATAGGAGGCTAAGGTTTTCTTTTTATTCCTAGTGTCTCTTGATTTTCTGAATTTCTTCACTGCCAACTAGAAAACTGTGTGTTTCTGAGTGCAAAGTGAAACTGCACAAATTTAGTAGGCAGAGAGGGGGTACCAGACATTGTCTTTGAAAGACCATCATTGAACAGGGATGGTGAAAGACACTGGGTACTGTGTAGATGGGAACAGAAAAAAAACAAGATCAAGTGCATGGTACATGGTCATAAGTGACCATCCCTGCAATACATCTCAAAAGCTAAAGATGCCATGTAACTTATCACCGAATGAGAAAGTACAATCATGAAATGCATTGTAACTAACAGTAGGTATAAATCTGCAATCTTTAAGGACTTAAGTATTTAATGACTTTTCATTATCACATTTGTCTCCAATAAAGGATTCTTGCTTCCATCTAGCCATAAGTAATATAATCCTGCAGACTCTTTCGATGTATGTATCTGCTAGGACCACAGCTGTGTCAAATCTTTTCACTGAGTTATTCTAGTATCCCAACTTGAGAGCGACACTGGAGTGCAAAATGTTTAATAGGAAATATAGGCAGTAATGAAGAGGGGTGCTAGAGGGCGCATAAAGGGGATGAAGACACAGGGCCCTTTCATACTGCTGACAAGAGTGAAAATTAGTAAAAGCATCTTAAGAACAATGTGACAACCACAAGCAGTTTTTATTACATTTATTCATTTACATGTCTGTGCACATATAACAGTGCATGGAGCGATAAGAAGACAATTTATGGCAGTCACTTTTCTCTGTCCACCACTTGAATCCCAGGGACTAAAGTCAGGTTTGCAGGGTTGTTAACAAACCCCTTTACCCAATCCGCTATCTTGAGGAACCTCATGAGAAATTTTTTTATAAGCACAAATCCTATAGCAGTGCAAACCACTGAGTGCAAAAGTCTCCTCTAAACAGGGAAATAGCTAGGATTATATTCCTTGTGTGGTCTTTGTAATAAAAGTCTTCCTAGAACAGAGTTAAAAATCCTTCATGAAAAACCTAGGTTAAGTTTCTAACTTTCTCTAGAAACCAGGTAGAGATCAAGGTCAACTGCATCACAGTGAGCACTGCTGCAGCAGCAGGAATCCAGTTCATAAAATGGACCGGGACTGCAAAAGAATTATAGATACTTAATAATGATACCTCAGTGACTGTGGTAGTTGTGACAGTAAGTATTGGTTTCTGTTTGCAGCAAACTCCTTCTAAGTTTGGGTGGACTGTTGGTCTTGGTCCTTCTTGGCTGATCATCGACTTGGGAGAAAAGGTGACAAAGATGAAAAAAAGGAAGGCTGAGCTCTGCAGAAGGAAGAAGCACTACCTTGGAAACAAGACTGGTGGTGACTACTGGCCTTTGTGAACCTGACTTCTGATTGAGACTTCTATTACTTCTGCTGGCACTGCCTCACCCAAACACCCATCCAAAGTGACACATTGCATATTCCTCAACTGAGAAGATGTACAGCAGTTAAAAACACTGAAAGATATTGCTACACATTTTTCATGTCTCTGAGTTATCTTAGTAAAACAGCAAAACTCACAATCATACATGCAATATTTTATTACTGACATATACTTTAAAAACTCAGAGTTATATTATATTAACATACACACACACACACACATATATATATATATATATGTATATTAGAAATGCAAATTTGGGAAAGGGATGAAAGGAAATAACAATGAGAAAAGCAAGAACAATTGCAACTTGTTTTAAATTTTAAATTAAATTTGAATGTTTTAAATTTTAATTGAAATTTTATAGCTGAGTATAACTAAATTTAGATAAATACTCTTAAAGAATATCATAATTTGTCAAAAAGCAAATATAACTGTTTAAATTTTGGGGTTTCCACTTTCTTATTTGTGTATTTATGGGACATTGGTCACATTTACTGAAGAAGAAATAATACCACAATTCTCACACATGATTATGTGCCTCAGTTGTACAAACAGAATTTCTATGAGATCATAGCTGTTCTTGTTCCAGTCCTGACCAGTGAGCTCCAGAAAGGAAATCCTTTGGTGAGACATCCTGCTTCCCATGATAGTCTGTCTCAAATAAACCTACAACATGGGGGATGAGAGATTGCAGACTTGGATGTAGCCCCTTGCAACTGCACAAGATTCCTCATCCCAATCTCTCTATAAACTCCAAGTATTCCCCTCCTTCCTGGCAGACCCCCATTTCCCATGAGAGAGCATCTGACCCTCACTGATACAGTTTCATCCGTTGAGGTCAGACTCTGGTTCTTCCATGCCTTCTGTGCTCACAATCTAAGAAAGCAGCCATGGACTGGAGTAAGAACGACATCACAGCTCCCTTTCCAGTTGCTGTGAAAAAAGAGCCACCCTGAGCATGATCACTCAGAAGGAAGAGGATTCATTTGACCTGACAGTTCCAGGTTACAGTCCTTCATAGCGTGGAAGTCACAGCAGCCAAAGCTTGAGTGAACTTGTGACATCGCACCCATCATCAAGAACAAAGAGCTCAGAATGCTTTTGTGCCCTGCTCTACTCATTCTCTCCATTCTACTCAGTGTGCAGGGCCAAATTCTGGAAATGATGCTGCCATGTTCAGGCTGTGTCTTCACATGTGAGCCTAATCCAGATGAGTCCTTATTCAGATCCTGTTCAGTCTGAAGAAAAAAAGAAGCCAACACTTCTCCCTCTAGTGCATACTACAGAGGCATCCGCTGCAGTCAATGTTTATGTGGAACAGAGTTGTGAAGTCAAGTCTCTTGGAGATCATCAGTTAGTAGAAAATGCAGTCTACAAAACAGCCCTAAAAGAAGGAACCATGTCTCAGTCATTTTTTGATTTTTACCCTGTTATGTCACCTTTAATGGGATTTATGACCAAATGTCTATGCCCTGCAGATAGGGCACCAATAGCAGAATAAAGTAATGTTTCCAGAGAAGTTCAACTTGAAGAACTAAAAGTTTATTTAGGTTAGTTACAGGAACATGGATGATCTAAAGTCATTCAGCTACAGCTCTCCCCAGCATCTTACAGGTTTGTGTTCAGCTCCCCCTGCAGCCTCTGACACTGTGCACTCAGAGCACAGAAGTACACAGCCGAGTCTCTCCAGTGCACAGAGGTTTTCTTCAGTTGGAAGGAAGAGTTACTCTTATGAAAGTTAGCTTCGAAACCATTTATTCCATGAACCACAGAACTTCCTGAACGGTAGCTGAGGAGAAGCTGGAGGCCATGGCCAGGGCGCTGCATGTACCAGAAGAGGTACGGAGCTCCACTGTAGGAATAGTTGCATCTGAGCTCCACCAAGTTTCCTTCAAAGACAGTGACATGGGAATCCAGCTGTGTAACTGACTGTGCTTGGACATCTCCTGCAAAATCAGTGATTTACTTCGTGGAGAAAAATAGTCTTTCTAAAATTCAAGTAAGAAAAGCAGTAAATCATGTACATCTACAAACAATTATGATAGTTTACTTACCCATGAAAAACTGTATCCCCAGGAATGAGATAATGACTGGAAACATGGCTGAGCAGTGGAAACACCTCTAGTGCCTTTCTGGAATAGCTTGTCACATTCAGAAAAATGGCTGCACTTCCCAGTTCTTGAAGACAAAGAAAAAAAAATGTTGTCTAGACACCTTTCTAGTTTAAATGAATACAAAAAAATAAATAAATAAAAAACCTGCAGATGCGATTTTAGTCCTGAGAACCTTCTGCCTCTGACTGTCTTCACTTCTTCACTTATCAGATGTTCTAAGGACTCAGCCAGATATAGGGAGCAACTGAGTTGAAAGTGGGGATCAGCTGCAGAAAAGGAGGCAGCCAACCGGTGCAATGTCGCCCTCTGGTGGTCAATGCAGGATAAAAGCTCTGAAGCAAATCCATGTGTTCTTTCTGTCTAGAGAACACCCCATCTTTCTAAGCTAATCTGCGCTGTGTTGAGTCCCAACCTAATAAAAAATAAGCCGTGTATAATTGAAAGACAATTTTCTTTCGAAAAAATGATCATAAAGAAAAACAACAAAATTAGAGGTCATTACAACTTGAGTATTAAAGCATAAACTGCAAGCAGCCCTGCCGCCGCTGCCACCACCAGAGGCATAGTCAAAGGAGACTGAATCTCTAAAGTGTGTTTTGTGGGATCCTGGAAGCCAGAGAAAACTCTACCTTCCCCGGAATTTCCGTATTAGCAATTTTTGCAGAGAACCAGAATAATTCCTTTAATCAATTTAAAGTTCAGTCGTATTCTTTTAGCCAGATGGTTCTTGGTTCTGAGATATCTTTCAAATTTTCTTCCCTTTACTCACCCCTCTCACTTCCCCATTTCTTCCTCACCTCTCTAGTCCCAGCCCACCCTTTGTTTAACTCAGAATAGACAAATCATTAGCAACGTGTTTGCCTGCATATTTCTTCACCTGCTCTTACAATTCAGATGCAGTGCCCTCTCACTGTGCCCCTACCACAGCCATCCCTATGCAGACACATCTTTGCTGTCAGTGAGTTTCCAATCAAGGAGAGCTCCAGTAGGATATAAAGATAGTGACTTTGAAGAAATAAAAAAACCAAAAAGGACACATAAAATACTAGTTTCAAATGATAATTCTACGCTTAAAAAATGAAACAAACTTATCTATTTCAAGCAGACCTGTGAAGACTCAGTGACTTCAGAGAAGCACCAATGATAATGTAGTGTGGAGAAAAGACAGCAAAACCCCAACATCATTTGATCTAGAAAGAACTGAGATGACACACCATCAAAGAAACAATAGACTGAAAACCATGGGAACAGCTTGACCTAGACACTTCAGTATCCCGCAGTTTTAAGTGGGTGGAAGCTAGGTAGTCTAATGAAGGTAGCATTGATTACAGTTAATAGCCATGTCATTCTCCTGATAGAGGAGGTTTTTCTTTCCTCTTCCCCTTTAAGACATCTGGGACTAAAAGATTAGCTGTTAAGTCAAAACAAGTAGTATTCTGAGATGAAGGACTCATTTTACAATGAGTAAATAGTCCTTGGTTAAGAAGAGATGATATTCTCTGTCTATGCCCTTAATAAAAGAATCATAAAATGCATGAAGAAAAAGTAGAGAAAATTAAAATAAGATAAATCTACAATCACAGTTAAATATTATAGTACTCACTTCCCAGATGCTAACCTGACAAGATAAAAACTGACACTAGATTAGAACAATCAATTAGAACAAATTGACATATCTACTGATCATTACACTCACCAATGCAATGTGCTTTTTTTTAACCAGTGTACAAGCAATGCTCACTTAGAGAGACCATACACTCAGATAGTCTGAAATACACCAGTGAACCTGAAGAGATTGAAGTTACAAGCCTTGTGTTTGCTGGCAACAAAATAGTGTAGAAATCTGTCACAAGCATGACAAATGGCCAAATATGACCAAGTATTTGGAAATTAAATAACACATTTTCAAGTAACTCACTGATAAGGTAGAGATAAAGGGGGCATTTGCTGTGGGACAATGGTCTGTACCCTGTCATTTACTTTAATAAATGCTGACTGGCCCATTAGCTCAGACTTTACTTATTAACTCTTACAGCTTATATTAGCCCATAATTCATGTCTGTGTTAGTCACGTGACTTGGTACCTTTTTTGGCGAGGCAGTCACATCTTGCTTGCTCTGTGTCTGACTTCCTCTGTGTCTGGGTGACAACTTCAGATTGACTCTTTCCTCTTCCTATAAATCTTGTCATCCCACCTCTACTTGCTGTCTGGTCACCCCACCTATACTTCTTGCCTGGCTACTGGCCAATCAGTGTTCTTTTTTTTTTTTTAAAAAATACAAGTGACAGGATAAAGACCATTGTCCCACAGCAGGCATTAGAAACTATTTTGAAATAGTTTGGTAAATCACAGTCTGGAGCATCTGTAGATGAAACTAAGATGAATAATGAAGGTATTTATAACACACACACACACACACACACACACACACACATACACCTTGAAAGTTTTAAGATTTAAGAAAACAGTAAAAGAAAATTTACAAGAAGCATGGACTCCTTAGGGGAGCACCGATGAAGCACAGCCCAGAGAAACAGAAACCATGGAAACAGATTGACTTAAACACATTATTATCCAGCAATTTCGAGTGCATGGTTGTTGGGCAGTCTAATGAAGGTAGTGTAGACTGTGGCCAATAGCAATGTCATTCATCTGAAAGAGAAATCTTTCTTCCCACTTAACTTTAAGACATCTGGGACTACAAGAAAATTATTGACTGAAGTATAAAATAGCATGAGTCAAAATCTTCCTTCCTTCTAACATTTTTTTCTATTTGTCATAGTGACAAAAACTTGACACAATAATTATGGAATTTCTTTCTCACTTTCATATGTCTACATTTATGGATTTTAATCATTATTCACTCTCTCCATTTGCCAGTATGTAGCAGAACAAAATATTCTAATGATAGTCTTCACTCTTATTAGATCCCAGTAAACTATAGGATAGCAATGGAAGTATGGGCTCCACTAGAAGAAGTGTGAACTCTCTCATAGGTGAGAGAAGAACTTTGTATTCTCCTTAGGGTAGAGGCTATGCAAGCTTGTTGCTGAACGAATAATGGTTTTACAATATTAGCAGTAACTGTAGCTCCTCTATTCTCCTTATTTGAATGTAATGATGGTTAAAGAAAATGTGCATGGATGCCAAATTTATAATTGTTACTTTTGCCTGCTGTGTCATCTCTGCTTCCATATTGGAGGTATAATTCCCAGAACTGACTTCTCTGTATTTCTCTGCCTCTGAGATAGAAATAAAAGAAGTCATGTAGCACTTTCAAGATAGGCATGCTACAACAACCATCTCTTGCTTGCCAATGGGGTTCAGGATTTCAGACGCTAAGAGAGCTACTTGCTGTCACCAACCTGCCAGCTCATCTTATTGTTAACTAACAACTCCTCTTCCTTCCACTTTCAACTTTATCTACCTTGGGCTAAGTACATGGGTACATGGTCTTAAATCACACTACTGCATCTGGAGGTAATCTCCCAAATGACATACAAGAAGTTGAAGGACATACAGCTTTCTTTTACTGTTCTAATTATTCTTCTTGGTATCTCCATAATTTCTAAGTCACAGTTTGCCTGTGTACTGGCATCTTCAAAACTTTCTTCCTTTATGTTAGCTTAGCCAATATTCAGGAAGTTCAGGCTCAATCTATTTGCAAAGACAATGATATTTCAAAGACCAATCCATACACTCTGGCTACACATATATAATCCTTTCATAGTATTTTATTATATATGACTCATGATTCTGTATCTCTGATTATGACTAAAGCAGACATAAGGGATAAGAGTCAAGTAAGTATTTTTCTGTCCTAGTCATTGCATTTAAATTGATATTCTGATCATTTGCAATTGAAACTAACAGTTTAAATTATAATGGTGCAAGCTCTTCACCTTAGGTAAATTTGTGTGTCTCTTTTATGTTCTATTTTTTGAGTCAAATACTCAAGACAGAATATCTGAAGAAAGTTTCTACTAATTACTGTTTCCAAAAGATATGAAAGGATGTTTTACTTGTAAACAAATCCTCTGGTCCAGAAAACAGATAAAATAGACATAATTAATCACTTGTCTTCATTCTGCAGGTACACATCTGAGTGGTTTTCCTGAAGCAGCCTCTGCCTCATAGGGAGCTCCTGGGATTTTGTTGAGTTTAACTGTCTCTCCTATGCTCCAGGAGAGCACAGACATAATTCCTTGAATGTTCCATCTGAAAGGAAGAGTGGAGTTGATAGAAATGGCTGTTTTCTGGGGATTAAAAGATAGAATATTAACTATTCTTTGCACACTAACCATAAGAATTCTGACAAATGAGGAGGATAGAAGACATTTCTCCAAGGGAACGTTGCTCATTCCAATAAAATTTAGAAGTTGATCTTCCTTGACTCCTATGAACTATACAGGGTGACTGCTTCCCATTCCTGTCTGGAGGTCAATGGGTGGACTTGAGTCACTATCTGGACCACAATGAATCCTGAGGAAACAATCAACACAGTTGATTTTGTCAGGCAGCAGACAAAAATATTGTGACTCTTGGGATAAGAAGGACCCAGAGACAAATGCAGCTGAAGTAATAATTTGCTTTTTTTCTCCAGTTCATTTTCTCCTGGATCCATGTAAAGCATTGCATGCTGGGAGTATGCATTCATGCCTAATATTCTTAACCAAATGGGAACCATCCATACTAAAGAAGGTAAAGGACTCAAACACACACAGAAAGCTGGAAAGAAGCCCATGACACAAATCCCTCTACAGAAATCTATCTGTTGTACCTGGGCTCTGGGTTTCATGTTTCAGGTGACTCATAGAGTGCATACATACTCCCTAGTGCTGTAATCTGCTGGCCTGGTCTGCCATCTGGGAACCCTATTCCTTTAAGAGACAAGCTCTGCCCACTCCCAACTTCCCCCTTCTGCTGAGGCAAGCAGACTCTCTCTCTCTCTCTCTCTCTCTCTCTCTCTCTCTCTCTCTCTGTCTCTCTCTCTCTCCCCTCCTCTCCTCTCCTCTCCTCTCCTCTCCTCTCCTCTCCTCTCCTCTTCTCTTCTTTTCTCTTCTCTTTGCCCTTTTGGAAAGGCAGCTTCTACCTTTCTCCTTCCTCCCCTGCTTTTCTCCTCTTGCCCTTTTCTCCTTCCCTCCCCATAACTCACTAAATAAACTCTATACTCAAACTATCTCTCTGCATAATGTATCTGTCTTTCTCCCTTCCCACCACAATGGGACCCATTGAGGCCTCTGGTGACCCACTTCCACCTCTCATGGGAACACTTTCCCTTGTGGGACGTCCCCACCACCTGATTATAAATGATAGCACTAGGTTGTTTGATTTTTTTTTACTTTTTTATTTTTGAGATTACAATTCCAACATTTCCTACTTTCCTTTCCTCCCTCCAAACCTGCTCATATTGTCCACCCTACTCTCTTTCAAATTCATGGCCTCTTGTTTTAATAATTTCAACTACATATATGCACATATATGCATGTATATGTCTGTGTTCAAAAATCTACGTGTTTATGTGTGTTTACATGCATATTTATATGTATACGTGTATACTTATATTCCTAATTATAACCTGTGTCATCCTTATAATGTTACTTATATGTCTGTTTTCTGAGCTGACTCTATAGTATTTGTTATGTCTGAAGAAAATCCCCAAACATTCCAAAAAAATAGGCCCAATGTTAAGTCCAAGTTGACAACCTGTCATTAGCTCAGAATGATTGCCTGTAAATACTTTTCTCAGTACTG